AAGACACCGAAAAATGGAGAAGAACCAAAGAGACACTGTTGCACCAATGACTCTAATTTGGAGGCAGGCTGGTAAAGTCTGAGGAAACCATATTTTGGTCAGATTCCAACGTCCTATAAATTAACAACAGCAAGTGTATCACAGTACATATGCAAAGAATTGATGAACTAAAATCACAAATTTAGACTATGACAGAAATCAGAAGATGTGGATGTTATCGTGCATAGAGAGATCGGAGTAGTCTTATGGATTTGGGAGCAGAGGAAGGGAGAAACTACATGGAAATACCTTCAGAGAAAGGGAGACTGAGGGCAGAAGCCCCAGAGACAGAGCACCAGGCCCAAGCTGGATCCTCATGATGGCCCATGGAGACAACCGGCCACGCTGAGTCCTGCTGCAGCCCATGCCCAGCTCAAGCCTGCGTGTCATCCCCAAGTGAGTGACTAACTCATGCTCCAGAGCCCCAGGGAGACGGCAGGCAATCCTTTTTCTTTTAGGCCATCTGGCCATGGCCCCCGACTACGCACAGTGTCTCTGCTCCGCCACAGGACTATGCCCTACAGATCCCTGACCTTGACTCTTTATGGTCTCGTCTTTCCCAGGAGCACCATTCACTTAAAATTCCTTCGAATTTCAGTCAAAATTCTTTTGATGGTCATTAAAATTACATGAGTGGCTTCATGAAACTTTAATGTTCTCTACCAACAAGTCTGGGAGAAATCCCCCCAGGCATCCCAACTGATCTAATCAGATACAACAAAGCATTTCAAGACAAAAGTTTTAACCAGAATGAAAATGAAATGAATATTTCATTTATGATGGCTCATCTGGTAATGAAATTTTTGTAATTTTTTATTTAAAAATATCAAATATCAAACAACTAAATCTAACCTCTTATAAAAGCATTGACCAGTCAGATACCCACCTCTTGGATTTGTTAAATGTCCTTTCATCCAAAGTTCCTGTGACAGCTGGTGAGGAGGTGTAGGACAGTGACCTCTAAGATGATCTTGTGACCCAGTGACTAGATTTAATTGTGCACTTTGTTAAAGACAGATGTCCGCATGAGAACTGCTCAGATCTCATCTCTCATGGCCGTTTGTCCTAGTATTCTCGCAGCTCACCTCCAGTGAAGCAGAACTTGAAAGCCTTCTAGAAGATTCCAGGAGACCCCAAAGGTATCTCCAACCCCCATTCTAGGTAAGTTCATATGACAATGTTAATGGGTAATAGTGGCTTTGTATGCTACTGTAGTGAAAAGTGTACCTATTCTTTGTCCCTGGTTCCTGAGAGACAACCTCTAAATTCTCAGAATTTCCAGAGTGATAGGAAAATCTTTGCTATTCATGGTGGTCTCCAAGACCATGCCTGACCATACCTAGCCAGTCAGTGTTAAAGTTTATATCTACATGTCCCCCAAAGCCTCATGTGCCCACAGATGTGGCTTTGGGGAGGTGACTGGAACACAACTGTATAGCTAAATGTGATGTTAGAAGGTAAAGCTTCCTAGATTACCTAGCTGAGAAGGTCAACCCTCTAATCACATAGTTATCTATTTGGTGTGGCCAGCTCTCCTGCTGAGTTCTTCTGGTAGAGTGTCTTGGTTACTTTCTTGTTGTTAAGGCAAAATACCTGACACAAGTTAGAGGATGAAAGGTGCGTTTCAGCTCACAGTTGGAAGAGGATTCAGTCGATGGCCAGGTGGCTCCAAGGCAGGGCAGCATGGCAGAGAAGCAGCAGTTCATGGCATGGCAGAGGGGAAGCAGAGGAGAAGATAAGGAGAAGGCAGGAAGCCCAACCTCCAGTGAAGCCAGGAAGGCCTGGAGATTGAACTCAATCAACCGCCAATGATTCAATCAATGACACCTATAATAATGAAGTCCCATTACAAACTCCGGATCTGAGGCTCGTGTAAGCCTTCTGGTTCACAAATCAGTGAATCAGGATAGCAGTGCACCCAAGAACACGCATGTGGGAACTGCCCAGCCTTGTCCTCTCCTCCTTGTGTCTTCATTTGGCTGGTCCTGATTTGTCTCCATTACAATAAAACTGTCATCACAATTAGGGTACTTTCCTGGGTTCTGTGAATTGTTGTACTGAGCTACCAAATCTGAAGACAGAGTGGCAACCCCCATATCTTGTAGGCTGTTGAGAAGCAAAGGTGGTCTGCAGGCCCCAGAGCTCATGGTTGGTGTTTAAAGCAGGCGACTCTTCTGGAGAACTTTGACTGAACCTATGACGTGCACTGACAGTGGGTCACTACTATCAGGGTTAGGTTTCAGCTGTGCCTCCAACTAACTTAGAGAGCTAACTTCCTAACCCACATCAGTGGCTGATGACAGAGGGAGGGATGCTGACACTGTCGCAGGCTAGAGGGTCAATATAGGAGAGGTTCAGGCTTACCGCAGGCAGGATTCTGCGGTGGCCTGCAGGCTTCCTGGCCCTGGTGTTTGTACCCTGTATAATTTTCTCTCCACTTGAGCCTGGGGGCGCATCAGTACTATAAAGGATTTTACTTCTGGGATTAGGTTGTGCAGGACACAAATGAACTCCCAAGCCAGGGACAAAGCTGGTACTAAATTCTCTTTCTGCATGTTTCCCAAAGGAAAAGCATAAATCAAGAGAAAGGATGACTCAGGCACATCACGCCCTGAACCTCAGGACAGAATTCCACCCAGTAGGAGCCTATCCTCCAGAACCCGGGCGAGGGCTTCATGGTGACCTGGTGCCGAGCGCACCCTTCCGTTTCTTACCAAGAGTACTTAAGACATACTGTTATCATTCCACCCCCAAACTTAAACCTGAGTTGGGATTTTATTAATCCTACTCTGAGGAAAGACTACACAGTACCTACCAGGAAAAAAAAAAAAAAAAAAAGACACCAAGAAAGAGCACTGAAAGCCAGAAATGGAATTCAGTGGGTAGAGGAAGCCAGCCTAATTGCTCACCACAGGTGTCCATCCACCCAGGGAGAACTAATTTGGACTCCTTGCCATCCTGTAGTCTCCCTTGACTGCTCTCCCAGGAGTTCTCCTGTCTCCTTGAAGGGTTAAACTCCGGCTTCCTAACTTCTCCACCGTCATCTTTCTTGGTGGACTTCGCTGAAGCACATCTGACAGTAATTTGCTGAGAAAAGGTAGAAGAGGTCAGTTTTAAACCTGCTGAGCTAGCACGAGTCTTGCTTCCTCCCTGACTGACGTTGGTGAGTCCGAAATTATATGGTGGAAATATTTTTCGCAAAGTGGAACATATTGCTTCATTGTACGCTAGCTTCAGTTTGATAGCTGGACTATGTATGATCTATTTTTCCTCTGTGCTTTACTGAGTTTTCTTATTCCTAGAAAGAAAACGCCTTCTTGGCAGGAAGTTTCAATCTGGAAACTCATGTCTGTCAGTTCTAAATTTCTTTTCTATCATATCTGATGGTTTCCTGGGCTCCCCTCCTGCACACAGGCTGGCCGGGGCAAACTCGAGGCCCTGGGAGGCGAGGACATTGTAAGCAGTGGCTGTGAATCCTACCCAGAACAGCCTGGGAAGGAACGCCTGCTTCCTCCTACCTGAGCAGCACAGCAAAAGAACAAAGACAAGGGCCGGCGAGAGAGCTCAGCTGTCTAAAGCACCTGCTTAGGCAAGTTTAGGCAGTGCAGGGGACCACAGATCAATCCCCGGCACCACAAGCCACACAAGCCCCACTCGCAGGGCAGGCTGAGCCAGCCAAAGTGGGGAGGAAGAACAAAGATAACAAAAATCAGGCACTCTCCCTAATCCTGACTCTGCCCAAAGCCCACAGGAGGACAGCTCAGCAGGACCCTGAACGTCCATCTCACCTCAGCGCCCACCTGATTAATGCAGCTGAACTTGCAAGTGCAACTACTTATTATTTTTGCAAACCTCTGTACCTGCCCTCCGTATCTTCCTCCCTATACGATGGAATTCCTCCCTGGACGTATTCTGTATTGAGGTTGTTTTATGATAATTCCTTTTCTCCATTTTCTTCCTGCAACTTGAACTTGCTGGATGTGGGACATCATAGATTACCTAATCTTGGTATCTTTTCTTTCTTATTTCCCATTGGTGTTTTTGTGCTGGTATTTGAGCTAGTTGTGCAACTTTATCTCCCAAGCAGAACTTTAAGCTTTTAAATGTGTGCTGTCATATTTCTAACCCCAAATAATTCTTTCTGAGTCTCTTTTCCCTCTACACAGCAGCCTCATCTTTCGAAGGAGAGCACTATTTTGTCTCCCTGTAGAGGAGTTCTAGGTCTTCGGCTTCCACTGCATCTCTTTTCCTGCAGCTTAGATCTGTGTTTGATCGGAACTCTCAGGTGTCTGTGTCTCTTCTCCACACCGAAAGCATTCTCATGTGCTCGTAATCTAGCCCAGAGAGCTCAGAAAGTTGAAAGCACAGAGCAATGGGTACAGCCTGGACCAGAAGGACACGAGGACCCCAGAAATTTTTCTTTACTGTTTCATTTTTCACTCTTGTTCAGAATTCACTGCACAAAATAATTGCTGTAAAAGTGACTTCTGTCCCTACACTCTGCCTACGCTGTCGTGAGGTCACAAGACAGCTGCTGTCTCACACACGCTGTGAGGACGTGTTTGCCACCAGTTCCCTGCATGGCTGCCCATTTCTCTCACACCTACTCGTGCTGTGCGGCTCCTCCACAACCTGTCGAATGCCATCCTGCTGAGCTGTTTCATGCCAGATAAACACAACCAGGATACCTGAGCACCGAGCACCAGACTCAGTCATCACCCCGATTCTCAAGAGAAAGCTCCCTACCGAACACCAGGAGCCCCGTTTTCAGAACGGCAACCGCACACCCCGGTTCCTCTGGAGTCTGACCCCAAAGCCCATGTTCACCACAGCTGGTCCTCCCCTAACCCTGTAGGGTTTATTTTTGTTCTCCCAAGAGAATGCGGTTCCCAGGGGAACAGCGCTCCCGCATTCCATACGGAACTGCAGGCAGCGTGCAGGACAGAGGGAAGACCCCCAGTATGCTGCCTCTTCTGCTCATCTGCCTCCTGCCCAGGGCCAGCACGGAGAACTGTCTCCTCTGCTGGCCAGACTTGCCCGCCCTGCTTGACTATGACCTTCAGATCCTCTGGGGCACCCCAGGGCCGCCCACAGAACTCTCCCAGAGCCTCCACTCCCTCTTCCAAGACGATGGCATCATGCTCCAACCCTGGTACCTTGGTGAGGCACAACCAGGGCGCCAGAAATCCAGGCTGGCTTTTCCACCTGGCCTGGCCGTTGTTCACCTAACTTTCTCCTGTCCCGTATTCCTTCCTCAGATCGAGATCTTGTAGAAGAAGAGATAGCCATATTCTTCAACGAAGTAGACCAAGCCATTGGGAAATTTAGGGATGGTAAGGAAACCTGTGTCCCAGGGCCCCGAGGTTGGGGTTGACCAAGCTTGAACCCCCAAACATTCCCAGAGGGTGGCTTTTGACATGGGATGAGAAAAGGCCAGTAAAAGGTGGAAGACATGTGTGGTCTGTCTCCTAATGCTCTGCAGAACTCCTGCTTGAAAGCTTTGGTTTAAAATCCAGCCTTAAGCAAGTTATATAAACAAGCATCCTTCCCTCCCACTCTGCCAGACAAAACATTACTTCTGCAAGAGATCGATATGCACAAGAATCGCTTTGCCAAGAGGCTGAACAAAAGAGCGGGGGAGCTGAGGGAGCAGGGTAAGCGAGAAGGCTGCCCCTGCCCACCCCCTCCCGGCCCTCATCTCCACAGAATCCAGTCTGTGGGCCGCCTGGGCCTGCCCCCCTGAACGTCCAGCCTTGCCCTCCTGCAGCCTGGGCTCCTGCCACACTGTTCCATGTCCTGCTCTGTCACCCTCACCCCCGGCTCTGCACTCCTCAGCATCTCACTATCTCCCCTTTCTTGGCCCCATCTCTCCTTTCTCCACAGCCTGCAGTGAGCCATGTGGTAAGTATACCCCATCCTGGGCCTGAGTGGGGGTGTCTGTCTCCACCCCCCCCCCAAGGTCCTGCTTATCTCTCTCATAGATATCAACCCTCCAATGAAGGTCATCCAGTGTGCCAACTGCAGGGAGCACTTCCTGTCCTGCCAAGACCCTGTCCTCTGCTCAGGTCAGTGGCCTCTCGCCTCCCAGTCCCCAACCTGTGCTCCCCAAGACCATTGCTGTCTCTACCTGTCTTCTTCCTCTCCCAGCCTGGAACTTTCCCTGCTCCTCCTCCTCCTGCAGGATTCCTTGGTGTCCGTGTGTCCAGGATCGGAGCTACGCAACGCTTCTCCCCTAGGTTCACAGAGTCAGATGCCTGGAAACTGGCCCAGACCCATCTCTCCTTTCCCTAAACCCGCTCTGCCTTTGAGGTCCTTCTCAGCGAAGGTCCCGCCCACACCTTTCCAAGCCAGGAGTCTCTCCGTACCTTCTCCCTCTGACAGACGGAGTGCGATCACGGCATCTGGCCAAGCAACTCAAGTCGCGCTCTGTAATCCGTTCTTGCCGCCGCCACTCTTCCTAGTATGTCCTGAACTCTCACCCGAGTCAGGGCAGCGTTTTCTGTCTGGCCTCCTTCCCATCCTGGCTGCATTTCACCCCACCACCAGAAACCATCAAGAACACTTACTCGTGACATTGCCCGTTTGTCAACTCCGGTGGTTCCCAGCTTCCCTCAGATGACACCCAGACTCCTGGAGGCCCCACATGAGCAGCAGCTGCTCACGCCTCCTCCCTGACTCTCAGCCACGGCAAGCTCTGGGTGCTGTGGACAGATGGGCAGCTTCGTGACCCTGTCCGCAACCGTGTCCTTTTTCCTGAAGGTCTGCCCCTCACTGGGGCTGGGCCTGTATTTGTCTCCCACAGCCCACCCCCACGTCCTATCTCCTGAGCCATTGCTCCGGGCAGCCCCACCCTCAATTGTTGGCCTTCTTTGCCATCACCTCCCCTGCCCCATGCTGTGTCCCATTTCCTGTGGACGCCACACTGCAACTGTTTGCTTGCCCTCCCCTCTGGAGCAGAAAGTCATGGCTCAGTCATGCCCGGAGGCTCACAAGGTACAGAAGAGGCACACGGCCGAGGCGCGCAGATGAGGGACTGAGCGGAGCCGTGCAGGAGCAGGCCTGCGTGGCCTGCACTCGCCAACTCCTTCCTTTCATACCCCAGCCAGGAACCTTCACAGCTACAAGTGGGATTTGATCCTCATGAGCTTTGGGATCATGCTGCCCCTGGTCACAGCTGGAGGTGGGTGAGTGACCACTGCCAGCCCCGGCATCCCTGGGAGGGGCACACCTGCCCCTTGACCAACTCGTCTCCATCATGGTTTTGGCCCAGATGTTACTTCTTCTGGCGTAAGAAGAAAGAGACAGAAGAGGTACTGGGGAAAGAGACCCCTGCCCAAACCCAGGGCTGCCTCCGTGGGGAAGGAGGGCGTCCCGGAGACAGCACAGCCCAGAGGCCCCAGCTGGGGTCCTAGGCTCTGGCATCCGGAGCAGTGTGGGGTTGGGGAGCACAGATGTGCGAGGGCCAGCGACACAAGGCAGTGATGCCCCGGGCCTCGGGCTCTCACGGAGAGTGGCCCTGCTCTCCGCAGTCACTGTCCCTCTCCAGCTCCTTCCTTCTGCCCCCGGCTGCCCACGCAGGTCAGCACCCTGGCTGCTTCTGCCTGGCTCCCAGGCGAGAGTGGCCATGAAGGACTTGCAGCAGGAGGTCAGAGGGACGAGGCCACAGTGGAAACCCCTGCTTCTCTCCTCTTCTCTCCTCTTCTCTTCTCTCCTCTTCTCTCCTCTTCTCTTCACAGGGACAAGGCAGCTTTTCAGCTCCCAGAAATGAGCCAAAAGCACCGGAAAGCTCTCATGGGCCTGGCCATAAGCTCCCCATCCTGTGACCTGCTCCGTACCAGGGCCGTGAGAGCCCCAGGGTTCCCAGGCCTGCCAAGTGGCTTCCCATGGTGTCCCCACACACGTGCCTTGGTAAATGGTCCCTTCATTAAGCATCTCTTGTGCTCTGAGTGGCTGTGCCTTCTGCTTCCTCCTCTGGTGCAGGCTGAGAGGAGACTTCCACACTGCCATGTGGGCTGCCCTGCCTCCTCATCCTCCCCGTGGCCTACCACCCTCCTACTGTCCTGCTCCTCACAGCGATAACTTCTCTGCTCAGGCCAGCCTCTCCTAGGGAGGGACAGAGGCAGAGGTGTCTGGGTGGCTCCAGAGGCCCCCATTTGTGAGCACTGGCCAAGAGAAGTGAGAGGCCAGCTGAGGGCTGATCAAGGGCAGATACTAGCAGGAGACCCCAGAAACAGGCTCTGAGGCCCACCACTAGCAAGGCCGCCGGGTCTTGGCCCAGGCGTGCCCAGGCCGTGGTGCTGCTGGTAAACACTGCTCCCCAGCCCTGCCTGTGGTGGGAACTTGGCTCTTCCTCCTCGTCCTCCGGCACATTTCTCCTGCTCAGTTCCCAGGACTGCCACGCCCCACAAGCCCCGTGTGTGCCTCTCTCATCTCCCTCTGCCCTGGGTTCCCCCACAGCACCTTCCTGCTGCGCTCCTGGCCTCTTCACCCCGGCCCCAGCTTAGCTGAGACTCACCAGGACCCCACCTCCAACTTGAAATCTGTGATGCCCCTCACCGCTGCAGCATATCCAGGGTCCAGGTCAGCAGGAGGAACTGGGTCTGGAGTCTAACACTTGGGTAAGCACCCAGAGCCTGGGCTCCCTTCCTGGCTCCAATACAGTGCCCTGGGTTCCCCCACCTGAGCCTCAGCTCCTCCACCTGAGTGTCACAATAAGAGGCGAGGTGGCATTTTAGCTGAGGGACACCGCATGTAGCCCAGCCTGGAACCCACTTGGGCTACACCTGACAATCCGGTATTTGTAAGTGTCTCCCCTGACACTGTTGGAGTTCCCTGTCCTAAAGCAAGACTTCAGGGCTCCGGCACCCTGCTGGTGCCCGCTCCTCAGAGCCGGTGCCTCAATCTAGAAGCAGGCTGAATTGGGAGGCACAATCTCACAGCAGGGGCTGCCCCTGGGTCACTACTTAGGGACAGAGAAAGACCCAAAGCCAGAGAGGAAGACACATAAATGACAGCCATGCAGGAGCAGCACAGCAAAGGCGGCAGTAAGCTGGCCCCTACACAGGCATCTGAGTCTCGCCCACCCAGGGATCCAGGCGGGAGCTATGACTTGGGCCTGAAGTGTCCCCAGTGACCTTGTGCTGGTGCCAGGTGACGGGTTTTTTGGAAGGGGGGGTCAGATGCTTGTCGCTCCATCGATGGATTAATCCACAGGTAGCGTCATCATTAGATGACCCTCTTGGGAGGCAGCAGACACTTAGGAGGGCCGGGTGGCCGCAGGCCCCAGGCAGTCGAGACCTCAGCAGTTCTCTCACTCCCAGTCCCTTCTTTTCTGGGCTTCCCAAAGCTTTCTCCCTACCCTGGGGGAAGGACCCTCCTCCACAGCCTTCCCACCAGGATTTCCTGCTTCCCCACAAATATAAAAGCAAGCCAGGAGGATCACTTAGAGTCTGATCTATGCAGTGAGACCCTGTAGACCCTGTACTAATACTAAATATACTTTAAAAATTTAAAAAAAAAAAGCAAAGAAAGATTGGGGAGGTAGCTCAGAGGCACGAGCATCTACCTGGCAGGCCACAAGGTCACAAGTTCAACATCCAGACCCTCATGCGGCGCTGCTGGCCCTGGAACCCCAGGTGTGGGGCACATGCCTGTAAGCCCAGAACTAGAGCGGTGCGACAGGAGGATCACTATGAGTTCAAGACCAACCTGGGGGCTACTGAAGTGAACACAAGGCTGGCCTGAACTGCACAGCAAGACCCTGTCTCAAGAAAAAAAAAAAAAGCCAAAGGAACCGGCCAGCCAGGGACTAAAACCTCTGAAACAGCAACTCACGGTGCGCCTTTCCTCCCTTGAGTGTTTTTTTTTTTTTTTTCACACTTTAAACTTTTTATTAGTAAATATCTCTAATACAAAACAATTATATTTATTGTGAGGAGTTAGTATATGTACAAAACACATTTTAATTCCTTTTTCACACCCCTCCCTGTCTCATGCCTCGTCGCTCCAGCTCTAGATTTTCTTTCTGTTCAAAACAGAACTATCATTTCTATTATTTTTAAATTATTTAGGCTGCTTTTATTCTCCTTGAATGATTCCCTTCTGACGTAAGATGAATCATGGGATACTCAAGACCGCCCCCCGATTTATTCCACTTAACATTGTTGTCTCAAGATGCACCTATGTTCCTACAAATGGCTCAAGTGCATCCTTTTCTATAGCAGAGTAGTACTCCATTGTGTAAAAATACATTTTCTTTATTCATTCACCTGTTGATGAACATATTGTTGGGGGGAGACTGGTTTGGACATCTAGATACAAGCCCTAATAATAAGATTATGTGTTAGGACCAGAAGTGGTTATCATATACCCCAAGCCTTTGCTGAATGAATTATTTGTAATCACTGTTCATTTTGTATGTTGAGTTAATCACAAAAGAAACCATGAGGAGAGATACTGGACTATAGCCAGTAGAAACCTGCTTTCGGGTGGGACAGAAATTCCTACAGAACAAATTCATTTCTAGTAAAAGTATCAGGCCATTGTTATGTTTTGTGTCTAGTCCCCCAAAGCCTCATGTAGTCATGGGGCAGGTTTCTAGAGTTTCTGATTAACTCATGTTCCACTGGGATTATGTGTGTGAGTGCTGCTGAGATTATATGTATGAGTACTGCTGGGATTATGTGTGTGAGTGCTGCTGGGATTATGGGTGTGCATGCTACAGCCCGCCTGGGATGGTAGCCTGAATGCCTAAGGGAGACAGATTTTGCTCTCTGTTGCCGTTGTGGCCGCTGCTCCTCCCATCTGCTCTTACTGTTTGGCTGTTTTCCACCACCATGAACCGCTGCCTACCGCTCTGCCTTGGAGCCAGCTGAGTAGGGACTGAAGCCTCCACTAACTGTGAGCTAAATAAACCTTTCCTTCCTTCATTCTGGGTGTCCGGCATTTGTCCCAGCAATGAGAGAAAAGTAACTGAGACACTCACCTATGGCTCAGTACTGTGAGGAGTGGAGTTAGGAAAAGATCTCTCCAGGCTCATTTTTGAAGCTTGTCTTTGCTGTTCACTTAGATCAGAAGTATGCCGTTCCTTGCTCTGCTTTCTGCCCATTTTGAGCATGGCAGTAGCCCGCCTTCGAATCCCCTCCTCCAGTTCCTGCTGCCCACTGTACCTAGCCCCAGATCTGCAAAGGGACAGACCCTGTTGGTGTGCACTCTTCAGCCCCCACAGGCCTCTCCGAGCCAGCGCGTGTCACACTGAGCCAGTGCCCAGGCAAGTGTCCCCTCCCCCAACTGCTGGCTGCACACTAACCCAGTTTGCCAAGTTCCTGCAGGTTTCCCACTGCCCTGCTGGCTGGCGGGAGCCGCGCCTCCTGCCCCCTCCGCCCCCACCCCTCCCTGCGTGAGTCTCCGCACACCTCCCTCTCCTTGCACAGAGCTCCTAAACGGGAGCAGAATGCCTAAGCCCCTCCCAGCTCCGCAGGCCGCCTCCAGCTCCGCAGGGCCAAGGCCGACTCCCTTCCTCTTCCTGCAACATGGCACGCGTGGCCCAGCCCCTACACCACCACAGGCCTGCGGCTGCTCCGATCCCCGGAATCCGGGCTCTCACTGAGCATTACGGTTTGGACAAGATTTGAGCATATGATAAGCTTCATGTGTTAGAATTTAATCCTCACGCTGAGGTATTTCAATGGTATGATGATTATTATCTGATTATAGTGTTTAAAGAGCGTGCTTTGGGGAGGCGATAGGATTAGATAAAGTAATGTAACCTAGGTCAGAGTTCCTATGACTGAGTCCCCATAGTTTCATACAAAGAAAGGGAACAAAAGATAGATAGATAGATAGATAGATAGATAGATAGATAGATAGATAGATACCATATATTTTTTTCTATATATATATATATCTCTTCTTCTTTATCTCTACCACGTGATTCCCTGTCCACCTTAGGACTCTGTCAGCATGAAGACTATCACCAGATACAATCTCTTGACCTTGATGCTCTGATAACGAGCCCCAACCGACTGCTTTTCGTGGTAAGCCACCCAGTCTAGGGTGCTGCACTATTACCAGCAGAGAACAGCCTCGCGCGGCTCCCCGAGCACCACGTGCGTGGAACTCCTGCTAAGACTGCTCAGGGTCTGGGTTCATCACACTGGCCACGTGCCTGGCCCTTACCTTTGTGGCTGAGACACTGGCCTCCCAGGCAGGCGCACCAAAGGGCACCTGAAGGACGGATACTCACGCAGGTGACTCTGCCGTCTGCGGGGCTGAACTCTGTTTCCTGGCCTCGCCTTCCCGGGATGCTCCTGGTCAGCATGGGCCACGGCAGGTCTTTAGCACGAGGCCCAGAGGGTGCGATCCCAGCAGTGACCAGTTCGTGTTCTGTGCTCAGAAGGCTTGGGCAGGCGCTACCTCAGCTAGCACACAATGACTAAGTGTGTGGCATGAGTCCCTGGGCCTGTAGCAGTTCCCGCTTTCCCCCATCGCCCTCCAGGCTGGGAGCAGATTTACTTCTGTGAAAAAGGCCACCAGCTCCTTTAGCAGAACACAGGTCACTAAGTGTGAGGCAGTGGGAACGGACCCGGCCTTCTAGCCTCCCCTGAGGGTCCAGTTTGCTAGCCTCATACCACAAGAACTTCAGCCTCCCACACACCGCAGGCTCGCAGAGGTTCAGTCAGCCCCCCAGCGATGGGAGGTCGGAGCCCACAACAGCCGGCCCTGGCGAGTGCTGGCTGACAGGGCCTCAATCCAACACTAATCTACCTGTGCACAGCAAGAGCTGGGCCTGCCCTGCGCACCCAGCTGAGAAGCATCTCTCTGA